AATGGAGTTTGTGTCTATGCTCAGTGGGTATCGGGCCACGACGCCACACTGCAGTCAGCGCTGGAATTAAAATAGCACTTCATGGATTATTTTAACTAATTTCCTTTGTGTTTACATATACTTTGTTGAGCCCGTGGTTTCATTTCTGTGTTCTGTTATGATTGGCCTCTGGAAATAATCGGAGTGGATGTCGTTTGTGTCATTTGTGTGTGCCTTGTGCAACAGGTTCAAGGCTAGATGCACTTCACATTCGGCGTGCGATCTCGGCGTCTGGGACCTGATAACGTCTTGGTTGGATGGGTAATCAAGGATGATACTACTCGGCACATGTCAATGTAATTTTTTACTTTTTCAGAGCTGCACTATTTACGGACGAATGTGTCTGTTAGAGAGGAAATAAATAGTATTCACAAACAAGTCCCACTTATTGTTTCTGTTCGTAAAAGGAAATTGCAATTTTTTGGTCATATTGTTCGTTCCGGCTGTTTGTCATTGATTGTTCTTCAGGGTTGTGTTGTTGGAAGTCGTGGCCGAGGCAGGCCCAGAATGTCATGGCTTGATAATATTATTTCATGGACTGCACTTGACGTGCAGTCCCTGCTCGCTGCTGCACGCTATCGATTTTTATGGCGCTCACTTGTTCATACTTGCTCTGTGGCGCCCCGGCGCCGGCGGCCTTAGGGCTTGCGATGATGACTATTTACGTCTTGATGTTTACTTCGGTGCCAGCGTGTTTCCCCCGGATTATTTCTATCATCATGCGTGCTCTTGGGCTGAGCGAGCACATGCACGAGTGTGCAGCTATAACCCCGTGTATCTTTGGTAACACTTTGTTCTGCAATGCATGTACCTTGTAACAGCACTGCTTTGTGTGGCCTGCGTATTTCAGGACTATTCAGTGCATTAGACCCAGGTTGGTTTGGTTGCCGGATGATCTCTTGTTGCGTCGCTGTGTTTTGTATTCATCAATTTTTGGGCTTGAGAATTGAGCTGGTGTGTGGTTCCCAATATCAAAACATCATGCTGGTGCTCTGTGTTTTGATTATCGACTGCCGACCCGAGCAGTCACGATTCATTACCAGAACGGTCAATACTGTAGTCTCTTGACGTGTTTGTCTTTTTGTGTATTCGCCGGGGGAATTAGCTGTGACGTTGCACATAGAACGGCAGTGTTGCATCACTGGATGACCCTGCCTCTGCATATGACTTCATGTCCCCAGGATCTGGTGCATATACACCAGACAGTCACTTCCTGTAAACACGCAAACAGCAAAAGAAGAGATCCCGCAAATCAGGAAAACCCATTGTGGAAAATATCGAGTAGATCATACGCCATTCAATAATCTGGAGCAATTACAGTGAGACAAACACTTCAGTGCTCTCTCTCTCTCTCTCTCTCTCTCTCTCTCTCTCTCCATCCTTCCAAAATACCCTGAAACAATTCCCTAGAATTATTATATTTTAATATATTCTCAGGACATCATTCTGAACATAATAATTTCTTCCCTGGGTCTTCAATCACCACGGAGGGCGAGAATATATCTAAGTCATGCAGTTTATGGGAGATGCGAGCTGTCATGGATATAGAGGCTTATATTATTGTGCCAGCGTGAGGGCAGAGGCAGAAAGAAGACACTGATTTCTTGAACAACTCACCTACATACTGTAATTATAATCGAATCCACAGGGAGCGCTCGTACTTTGATCCATCAGGACGCGAAGAATCTTCAAAGCACTCTCAAACAGGGAGTTTTACAGTGGGCAGCCAATTTCACAACCATAATGAAGGCCCTCGACGACTACAGGAGATTTGTAGAGGAAAGAACAAGGAGTAAAGAGCGACAACAATCGCTTGAAGAAAAAGCAAACAAAACTGCTCTCTCTCCAGTCATTTAGATGCTGTTGCCTTTGACAACTGGTTCCATCCAGAGGACGCGACTTTTGTTTGTCCCCAGTGCTCTCCGTTGCTATGCTTATCGAAGGGGCCATGACGTCACACTTAACAGCCCCATTGCCGATATTTCTTACACACGATAAATCACGTGTGACATATCATATGCACGTGTGACATACATGTATCATAATTATAATTATGCGCGCACGTTTGGCATGTGGACACGTTCAAATACTACAATCATGTAGGTCTACACATCACATGATACACACGGATCAGACTCGCCGGGTCGTGATAGGCGACTGCGGAGCAGCAGATACGAGAGAAGTCGGAAGACAGAGTCCGACTGGACAGAAAAAGTGATTCTCCGATGCTCAGTTGGACATAACTCTCTTTTTGTGTTGAATATTATTGTATTGAGTATGCACAGAGCACAGATGTTATTACTACAGGCGATACACTTTGCACTAATCTGGCATATTTTGCTACACAAAATCCATTCTTAGGGCCGATATATTCTACTATGCGATAATACTGCTTGTAAGAATAAATATACACATAAAATATGTGTTATGATTATGAAAAAATGAGTGTTCATTCTTGTAGGCAGTATATTCTTGTATACGACCACACTATAACCGATACGCACTATACTTGCGTGATATAACGCAGAACGAGCAAGGCAGACTCAAGCACAAGTAATAGTTTTCACGCCAATCTTGCTACAACGGAGACTAATTTCAACTAATCCAGCATACAAGCAGCACTCGCTTTGTGTTTTTGGAGAGGATGGGTGACCAGATTACGGAGTCAGAAGTGGACATCGTCGACGATGCAGAGACGAAAGTATAATGAAGATGGAAATGAAAATATGTTCATCTCCAAGAAGGTACTGAGTACATCAAGGACATTCGTGTGTGAAGCTCTGTCTTTCTTGTGGAAGACTCCACAGAAAACAATTATGTCCAGCTTGTTGAAACTGAAACTGTGTCTCAGTTGAGGTCGTTCAGGGAAGACATCTATTCAAGACATCATTGGTCCCTTCTCAAGAACCATCATAAGAAAATAAATCAAGTCATGTTAGCGATAAGAATGGCGAACTAGACCAGAGAAGTGCGAGTGTCTTGTTTTGACTGCAGGAAACTGTATTTCAATATTGTGGCTTAACGTAGTGGTTACGCAGTTTACTGCTTCGAACATATCTCCATTCCTACTCCCAAAATAACTGTAAAATTTATTGATGTAACATTATGGCACATGGTCTTTCTCGTTGTGCTGCTATAACGTGTACTTGAAGTATTATAATATTTGCAATTCGAGAGGTTAAGATGCACGTTATTTCCGACGTGACGCCCAATTTCACGTCAAATTTGGCGTAAAACTCCAAATTCCGACGTGAGCAGCAGGTCACTCGCGTTGATTTTTCGACGTGCGAGCAAATAACGCGAGCTGAACTTTCGCGTCACGTCAGAAATAACGTGCATCCTAACCTCTCTATTGTACATGCATGCGAGCACGTGTACCGTGTACTGTCTGGTTGTCAGTGTTTTTGGGCGATCCTCCACACCTTCATTTGTCCATTACGTATTTTCCTTCTACTTATTAATTTTATAGAAATATTCACTCACTACAACTTCTTGTGATTGCTGGTGCGAATGTAGCCTACTATGCCTGCTTGTTAGTGAGAGTGCACCAGACATGTACAGATATGTATGTCTAACGAGATGTTCTTGAACTGGCATGCGGCTTTCACAAGAACTTTGGTTAGATAAGGTTTGGAATTGGGTGCTCAATGGCCTGGAGGAAATGTCTGCGATCAGTATCACCAAGATACAGTTCTTCCATCTACGCATCTCTTCTTGGCTTGTGGATTGGTTGAAAAGAGATAAAAATTACAGAAATACCTATATTCAGTCTGTGACTACTCACAGAGAAAGAGTGATCGCAAATGTACATTCCGCATGTAACCGTTCGCATGGAATTATAGTGGTCACAACTGTATTCTGTGATTGCTCATAGCATAGGGAGTTATAGTTTCTACAACAAATCCTGCAGTACGAAGCACTCCACGAGCAGTCACGAACTGTGTGCTTTACACATGTACCGGTACATGTATGCTGATTTATGACATGTAACCGTTCGCATGGAATTATAGTGGTCACAACTATATAGTGGTCACAACTGTATTCTGTGATTGATTTATGACATGTAACCGTTCGCATGGAATTATAGTGGTCACAACTGATTTATGACATGTAACCGTTCGCATGGAATTATAGTGGTCACAACTGTATTCTGTGATTGCTCATAGCATAGGGAGTTATAGTTTCTACAACAAATCCTGCAGTACGAAGCACTCCGTGAGCAGTCACGAACTGTGTGCTTTACACATGTACCGGTACATGTATGCTGATTTATGACTGGTCATGGGGCACTGTGACTGGTCATGGGGCACTGTGACTGGTCATGGGGCACTGTGACTGGTCATGGGGCACTGTGACTGGTGATGGGGCACTGTGACTGGTCATGGGGCACTGTGACTGGTCATGGGGCACTGTGACTGATCATGGGGCACTGTGACTGGTGATGGGGCACTGTGACTGGTGATGGGGCACTGTGACTGGTCATGGGGCACTGTGACTGGTCATGGGGCACTTTGACTGGTCATGGGGCACTTGACTGGTCACGGGGCATTGTGACTGGTCATGGGGCACTGTGACTGGTCATGGGGCATTGTGACTGGTCATGGGGCACTGTGACTGGTCATGGGGCACTGTGACTGGTGATGGGGCACTGTGACTGGTAAACTAATTTGTGACTGGTCTCGGGGGCTTTGTGACTGTTTGATTGGTCACGGGGACCGTGATTGGTCATGGGACCGTGATTGGTCATGGGACCGTGATTGGTCACGGGGACCGTGATTGGTCACTGAATCCTACATAATACTTCTTCATAGATATCAGTGGAATTGCATCTACGATAGGCACTATGTGTTGTAAGAATGCTCTTTTCGATCAATGGAAAACCAACTGTTCTAGCTGATTGCAGCGACATTTATCAACAACAGTATCGATTTGTGATAGCAAATCAACTTGGAGGCAAAATGTAACAGTGCGAAGCGAAAATACTCCTTCGCAGATATCAGTGGAAATGCATTTACGATAGGCACCATGACTGTGTTGTAAGAATGCTCTCTCCAATAGCAATGAAAAATTATTAATATCTTCAAGCTGAATGCAGGGACATTGACAACAATACATCCAAGGGCAACAAACCTGATGGACCACCATGAGAGGTCAACCGTCATAATAGACAAACCTGAAATCGTGCATGCTTCAATTCAATCAATGCTTAGTTTCCTTATCAATATTTCCTACCAATATGTCTTTATGCCAAGATTAGCTTCAAAGTACAGAGAAGTACCAACACGAAGTGATATAAAGGCATCAGGTTACATCGTGTGAAATGGGTACTGATTATTACCTCTTACAGTCATGCATAATAATTGTGTATAGGTGTGTTGACATATGCATGCATGTGTATGCGTGGTGTAACACTACAGGAATGTTAACAATGACTGGAACTGGCCGTCAGCTTTTTGCACTTGCCAAGGCTTGTAGAAAGTCTTCCCACTGTTCCGGCACTGCAAACAAAATGAACACAACACATTGCCCTTGTCTCAATGCAAGTTGGTATTGCTGTATTTTACAAGATCCGGATGAACAACTCTTTTCAAGGGCAGCTCCACCAGCAGTACTTTTAAGGGACTCTACCACTGTTCCAGTTTGCATGTTATTTTGTTTACTGTACTCCATTATGAATTTATGTTCAGTATATAATGGCATGAATCCTGTCATAAACTTAAACTTGAGAATGAGAATACATGTACTGTATAGCAGGAAATTTTCGGACGGAAATATTTTCGGACAAAGCCGAATTTAGACCTTTCGTACGGATTTTATTTTCGTACAGTGCTACATGCTAAATGCACGTGTTCTCATGCGGTACGCATGTATAGTGTACATGACTCCACAGGAACAAATTTTAGTACGGAATTAATGTTAGTACAAAAGAGGCCGTGTACGAAATTGTACGAAAATAAATTCCGTCCGAAAATTTCCTGCTATACAGTATCTAAAATGTTTGTTTTCTTAATCGATTTTCTTGAGACTATCATCAGGGAAAAATCGTCTCACAATAGAGGCTATACGGAGAAACAAACTACTTATAGGTTATAGGATAGTGGGGAGTATACAAGATGAGGTGTGAAAAAAAAAGTGGGAGAGAAGACGAAAGAAATTATAGGAAAAGACTATCCGATAACCTATAAGTAGTTTGTTTCTCCGTATAGCCTCTATTGTGAGACGATTTTTCCCTGATGATAGTCTCAAGAAAATCGATTAGGAACAACCATTTTAGATACATGTATTCTCATCCATCATTTTGTAATGTCCGCTTCACTTATACTATTAATCGCATTTATAATAAATTTATTGTCTCCTCGTCGCCTTTTCATTAAACTTGAGAGATATTCATATACTAGTAAACTGAAGAGTAGTATTTTCCACTTATGCTAGGGTGGTCCATATTTTTCGGGAAAATTCCGTCTCCATGCAAAAACAGACGGTAGCTGGTCAGAATTTTTTTGCATTTGTTCTTACACCTGGTGCACTATGTTGAGTAGTGTAGAATGGATTGTTGCAAATAGCAGTCCTTCACTATGACGTAGGACACGCATGGACCGTAGACCAGTTGACCTACTTGTACCCCACACACAGACGTGAAGTCATATTTTTACATGTATATACGTATAAGTATTTAAAAATGGACGCAGTTCTTCGCCAGTTTTTTTCTTTTCTAATTGGTACATGTATGGGGAAAATACGAACAAATAATGGGGAAGATGGGGGTGGAGGGTGGTCAGTGGGTCATAGACAACTTCACACAAGGAAGGATTTTAAGGTAGCTGGGTTGGGTGTCAAAAACTGGTCTTCTCACCATCCCTTAAGGCCCTTGCGCAGATCATGAGTGGAAATATTATGACTTTCTGCCGATCATGGGTTCGAGCCCCTCATGAGCGACTTTTTCTTCTTCTTCTTCTTATAATTGTTAATTTGTCTTTTTGAATGAGACTTCGATTAATAGACCCGGTCTCTTATTTGGGCATGGTCCATTATTTTGGAGCACGGTCCACTATATTTTCATCGGCACATCGCTGGAAATGGTGGATTTTTAACACATCATAATAATAGAAATGAAGTTGATTGTTCCAACTAGGAACACACGCTTCTTGCCGAACTTGACACTTGACTGACTCACGACTGCCATCCGGAGCACACGAGGAGCACGTCGCACCTTCCACTCGGCAAACCTGCAAGAAAGCACCACTCCCTGCTCAATACACGGTGTTTCGGGGAATTCACCCCTCATCAGTTGAGCTTGAGTAGGCTGAGGAAGATTGTGCCTGAAAAGCACCACTTATATACTGCTCTCCAGGCCAAACCATCACCAGGGATACAAACTTACAGAGACGCTTTGTTTCCAGCGCCACAAATTACCATCAAGATCAAGATCAAAGGAGGAGTCAACGAACAGAGGTTCAGCAACGTGAAGCGAGCCTGGGACCGATCGGTGGTGATGAGGAGAATGACACGGAGGACGACACTGAGGACGAGTTGGAAGATGAGACGGGGGACGAGGTTGCGGTTGGTGGAGACGAGGAATCGGATGGTGATTGTGATCGTAAGAAGTCTGCCGTTTTTCTTCATCTGTTGTCTCACCCTAAGTGTCTGCAGGTGTATGATGATTTTAGTTTTTCTGTTCTTTGTCGTGCACGGTACGCTAGTCAGTTGAAAGTACTTGAGGCTGTTTGTATTCGTTTGCATAAGCCTGATCTTTGTAAGCAGAAGAAACATGTAGTTGCGTTAAGATTGTTTTCGTAGGTGCACAGCATGATTGTTTGTCTCACTACACAGTTCTAGCGTTGCAATTAGTTCCTCACCCCTGTTGCACTTAGCTCTCACTTTACTTCTATTGTGTCACCTTCCCTCATTCTATTTTTAGCACTTTGTTTTGTTCTCGTAACACATTATTGAATGTATATTGATTTGGCATGGTTATTCTTCAGTCACGGCTTTCCACTGATGATTGTGACAAGAAAATCGATTTTGGTAAACCTTCATGACTTTGTTGTAGGGTGGCGATGACAGCAGAATTTGTTCTCTTTATAGCTACTATTGATTTGTCCAGCTTTTCAATACACTCTTATGATCCATGGACGAAATTTACAACCGGACGAACTCCCTTTCTTTGGAGTTGGACGAAATTATTGACCGACGAAATTTTCTGCTTATACAGTATAGGAAAGAGAGGATGAACTATCTAACATTCACAGTGTATAAGATTGAGAGTAGAACCGCGTTTCTTTATAGAACAATGGCAGACTCCAACCCTAAAAGATTCCGATCTGTAAGTGAAGAGGATCTGACGGAAGTTCTGGATTCCAGAGTACCTGCCAAAACCAAGGAAGCAAATCAATGTTGGCTTTCTGTTTTCAATACGTTCAACAAGAAGCAACCACGTCCAATAAAAATTGAGAAGTGTTCAAAGTCTGAACTGAATACTTTCCTGTGCAAACTTTACGTTGCTGCTAGACGACAAGATGGCGGTTCATATCAACGTTCAAGTTATCTGTGCTTTAGGGCGGCTCTACGCCGACACGTGGTTGAAAAGCGGAAATGGAACATCATCAGCGATCCTGAATTTGCCCGTTCCAACAACTGCTTGGATGGAGTTCTCAAGAAACTGAAGCGAGAAGGAGAACTACGACCAGTCAACCACAAGGACTATATCACAGACGATGACTTCAAGAAGCTGAAGGACAAGTTCTTACGGTGCAAGGAGCCGGAGGTTCTTGTAACGGAGGTATGGTTCTATGACATATCACTTTGCACTCCGTGGAAGAGAAATGCAACGACAGGTGAAGAAAACAGCAAGTCAACTGATGAACAACAAAGAAATATGGCAGCTGTTCTAGATGCACCTTCATCTTCATCATCGGAAAGACGACAAGCAAATTCAGTGCCAAGGGAGTCAGATGAGAGGTCAAGTTCACCTGATCAAGACTGTCAAGAACCATCCACCTCACGCCAACAGGGACCTCAAGACTCTTCTGACAACATCACATCTACAACAAGTCCTGACAGATTGACCAGTGGACACGAATTTGACGATGGAATGTAGGGTCTGATTTGCGAGTTGGTTCGTGAAGATTGCATACCTGCAATGTTACAATCAACATGTTGCCATAAAATTAGTGAGGTTATTTTGCGAGAATAATAAACATTCTTCAATTCTGTCCTCTTAAAGAGAAGTTGTTTGAAAGGGAAAATTAAGTCGTTGGGAAAGTCGCTGATTGGTCAGCTCCTAGGCAACGGGATTGACTTCGTTCTAAAATAGTTAATGCATGGTAGGGAGAGCCCAATGGCTTGTTGGTGCCCTCCAGGGTAGCCCTCGGGCCTACGGCCCTCTGACTACCCTGGAGGGCACTAACAAGCCATAAGGCCCTCCCTGCCATGCACTAACCTATAAATAGCAGCAGAATAATGGCATGCGAGTAACACAATTATCTGAAAACTCCAATACATGTATAGCACAATAATAATGACACGGAGCGAGATGGTGGCTGAAGCATACCTGGCGGCTAACATATTCAAGCCTACACAACGCTCTCTAAGCTGAAAACTTGTGAAAAGGTATGATAGTGAAAAGATATGAGAGTATGTATGGCGATATAGATGTGTACCTGCAGGCACAAGAGAGGCTTTTAATTGTTTATCATTGACTCTCGAAGGCAGAGGAACTATTCGAGACAGGGGAACTATTCGAGACAGGGGAACTATTCGAGACAGGGGAACTATTCGAAGCAGGGGAACTATTCGAAGCAGGGGAACTATTCGAAGCAGGGGAACCATACGAGACGGGGTCACTATTCCAGACAGGGGCACTATTCCAGACAGGGGCACTATTCGAGACAGGGGCACAATTCGAGACAGGGGCACAATCCAAGAGAGGTCACTCTTCGAGACAGGGGCACTATTCGAGACAGGGGCACTATTCGAGACAGGGGCACTATTCGAGACAGGGGCACTATTAGAGACAGGGGCACTATTCGAGACAGGAGCAAAATTCGAGACAGGGGCACAATCCAAGAGAGGTCACTCTTCGAGACAGGGGCACTATTCGCGACAGGGGCACTATTCGAGACAGGGGCACAATTTGAGAATTGTCACTCTTCCAGACAGGCGCACTATTCAACAGATGGCTCTAATCGCGAGAGTACAGTAAGAGAGACATTGCACATCACAGCTCCAATGAGAACAAAAATGGGCAAAGAAAGTGGATGAGGCGTGCAGGTATATCACCACCATCGCAGATTCAGCACGGCGGACTGCACAACAGACCACTGACCATGCTCAAATCTCATGAATGACTTTTAATTGCTGCAAAGGTTAACCTTTATCCACCTAACGTTTCCATGCTAGAGAGACATAGTGAAGTCCTGCAACTTGCACTTACCCCAATCCAGGAGACACTTTCCTAGGCAGAGTGAAAACAATGCCTCAAATCAATACAATCACTAGCAAGCTGGCCATGACTGCCATTGACCCACCGCTCACCCTAGACTTTCCACTAGGAATAGCCACTTCTCCAGACAAACAAAGTCAAAAGAAGGACACCAAACCAGAACACACACGCACACGCACACACACACACACACACACACACATACCAATGCACGCACGCACACATACACACACGTACACATGCACACACGTACATATGCACACACACACACATCAATATTCATGGGTGAATACAAATTACGAAAACCCTTCTGCGCATGGTCATTTCTAATACTGCAACAGATTGACATCAATGGCAAGAGTGGGAATATGTACTCTTGCCATTATGCATACCCATTTTCAGCTGACTTGCCGTATGGGTCATAAGTTAAGTAGTGTAGGAATAACGGGAGTTTGCCTTCATCGTGGGTGTCTTTTCCACCGTCATGAAAATATAGACACAGTAGGGTACAGAACAGCAAGGATAGTCAAGGCTTGTTTGCTGCTACTTCAAGTTTCACACTCTCGCAATCATCAGGCAAGAGAGAGGGGGGGGGGGGGGCTGATGATTGTGAGAGTGTGACACTTGAAGTAGCAGCAAACAAGCCTTGATTGTCCTTGTTGTTCTCTATTTCGCTCTGCCTCCGCGGTGTTGGGTACATCCTTTGGTGGCACAGGAAAGTAAAAAAGAAGATTTTGTAGAATACTCATAAAAAGGACACACTTCAGGCTCATTACAAACATCTTGAAGGTTTTTGTCTTCACAAGTATACTTTCAAGCCTTCTCGTCAGGTGAAATACAGGCAAGGGAAAAGGAACAGGAACAGTGGATTAAATACAGTATAAAGCAGCGCAAAAAAGAAGATAGCTAAAGTAAACAGCGAAAATTGCAATAATGACACAAAGGTGCAAGTGCGAGAAAACTCAATAAGCGTGACATGTAGTGCGACGACAAGAGACAACCACTGGACATACATGTAACTAACGAGGTTTTGACGACCTACCTAACAGCCTAAGTGTGAATTTGATTTGTTTCTGCTTGCAAATGTTGGGTTTCTTTGTGTGGATGTATACGGCTTCCAAAACATTCAGCAATCTAGCACTGCGTACACGTGACACAATCGCAAAACAATCATTTGAATACACAGCACGACAATCAGGATGCTCAAACAAATGACTAGCAATGGACGACTCATACTTATCAGAACTAACATCAGAACAATCAACATGTGCGGTGGACACATCCGATATCACATGGCTAGTCGAGTGGACCCTAGCCGTTGCCTCTATCTGCGCTTTAGTCGCTGCCATCGCCGTCGTTGCCGATCTTGTCATTCTTCTGGTTGATGCGGTTCCTGTCACTGCCACGCCAGTAGGTGTCTTGTAGGGGTGTAGGGGTTTGTGCGACTGTTGATGCAAAAGTGACTGAAGGCACGAGCGAATTTTACTTCACGAGGCACGGTGAAATCACGTGCCTTGTGACGCAAGAATGCCAAGTCGCGTGGATCATGGCTCTTGAGATTTCTGAGTCACCTTCGTCAAGTGCGCTTGTTACTCGCCTTGAACGCCCGTTGGCGTTGGTTTGCCAGTGATCACACTTGTGTTATTACCAGGTTACTGCGCTCAAGAACACGCTGACAGTGACTGTGTGGTAGGCCTACGAACCGGGACTTTCCCTGACCATATAGGTCGAAGACCAGTGAAATGGTGATGAAATCACATTCTTTATGACGTAAGAAATCTCTCATGCATGCAGTTTAGGCCTGTCCGAAAAATGTGTTTTAATTTGCGGAAAATGGAAATGCAAAATGCACGGTGTTCCAGCCAACATTCAAACAAGAAATCAAAGGGAATGTAAAAAAATTTAAAAAATCAAAGCCAAACAACCCAAAACGCAGAGAAAATGCATCCGTTGCCATGGCAACCAAAATCTAAAATGGCCGCCATGCCATGGTGATCACACAATTAATTGGTTTTCCATGTCACACTGTACATGTATACATGTAGTATCCCTGCCTTGCTAGTACACATGTACATGTACCTCTAATCATGTCACATGTACACGCACTAGTGCATGATCATAATCTTGTCACCCCTTTTGCTGACTTTGCCTGACAAGCCTGCAAAGCTAATCATTTTCTCACCATTGCAAGTCACTTGTGTTGCCCTTACCTTAGCTTGCATACTACCTGTACTACTACTACTACACATGTACTACTACTAGTACTAGAACACATCTTTGTAGTTTTACATCTACGCCTGCATGTACATGTAGAACTAAACACCCGCGTGTTCGCCTTTGTGTGGAGGCCAGTGCAACTTAGTAAGTCTAGAGTCGCAGCCAAGAGGGACAGAAGACACCGCCGAGCTTGACTTGGTCGAGCTGAAACCTTGGCTGAAACCTTGGAATTCGACCGAAAATGGGCAAAATTCAGAAAAAATGCAAAAATGCAAAATGTACCCCAAAATGCAAAAAAAACAGAACATTTTTCGGACAGGCCTAATGCAGTTCACGCGACAAGTTCGTGCAGCCAGTGCTGCTCGCGTGCCAGTCAACACAAAGCGACCGAGCTAGCAGCTTTTGTCGAGCATCGACATGAAAACAATGGACTTTTACCATTGGACTATGTTCGGATTGCAGGAGGTAAGTGTGACAGACGAATAACTCTCCATGCTGTACGAGGGGCATATTTCAACGGCTTGCTGCCATTGCAACACTCCGAGGACAGTTTGTGAGGGTTCTCAGTAGATCAAGCAGGAAATACAGCTCATCTTACCTCTGCCATCATGGTCTGTTCCGAGTAGCGTTCCAGTCACGTTCGCGATCGATGGCCGCGTGTCGTGATCCAGGAAGCGTCATCCCACGTCACAGAGCATGCGATCTCATCGTGAATCTTGCAATAAAATTCAAACACTGCGCTCAGGACTTCAGTCACTTTTGCATCAACAGTCGCACAAAAAAATATTGGTGGCGCAAGGAGAAGCTTGTCGTTTGGAGAGACAAGTGATCACCGCTGCTTTTCCTTGTCAGAGCCAACAATACACTTTGTTCTGCGGCCTTGGGAGTAGTGTTGGAGTAGAAATTGCTGAGGAGACGTCACGGAGGGGCGAGCTTTCCTGCGCAGGTATGACTTTGGCCGTATTTCAGCATGGTCGAGTGGAAAAATTCAACGAAAATACAGTCAATAGTCACTACTAGAGGGTTCACAAAGGCACATTTGTGAGGGGTGAAGTCGGGCTTCACCCTGTATGTTACATTTTGCATGGCAAGACAATTTTGGACAATGGAAAAAATGGGTCATGGGGTAACTTTTTCCCATGCCCGCCCCTCTACTATTTTGACCTGGCTAGAACACTGCACACTGCCTGATGAAGATCAGGAGCTTTTGTTTAAAAAGTTCAGTGATGCGGTAAATCGAGTTGGCAGCCAGGTGGGGCTGCATCGAGGAACATGGCGGGCTGCCATCAATGCATAGGATCGCCCGGTTTTGCATGGCTTGCAGACGCTGAAGTTGGGTCACGCGGAGGGCTGCAGAGAAGCAGCAGGCACCATATATCATATCCGGCATGACAACAGCCTTTACATATATCTTGCGCGAGCTGCGGGAGAGGAATCGACGGACTCGCCACAAGGTGCCAATCTTCCTCGCAGCTTTGGTCACTTGGTCACTATGGCGCTGACGTGTACATCCCAATTCAGACGGTTGTCAAGAAAGACACCAAGATACCGTGCAGACTTCACTATAGGTAGAGAGGTATCGCAGCACACGATAGAGACCTCAGGCCCGGCATGTTGCGGTGAGATAGTCATTACCTGGCTTTTGGAGGCATTTAAAATTAGGCCGCGTGACTTAAGCCATATGGCGAGATCAGTGACAGCTGAAGAGACAGATTTGGAGACTTCCCAGCGGAAGCTTTTGAATCATACAGGGCAATGTCGTCTGCGAATTGCACGCTGGGACATTTCCTAAATTATAAACATTTGTAAAGAAAGATCATTTTGTGAATCAGGTTTGCTCTAATTGTATGAAATACGCTATATGCACGCAATTGCAACTGAAAGATCGCTCAAAAGAGAACAACAGCAAAGCATGGTGTTCCAAAGCTGGATTCGTACCTGGGACTCCTCGTTCAAGAGACAGGCTAATGATCCAACTGACTAAAAATGTTTTGACATGCCAGACAGCACCAAAAATCACTATATTCGCGGCTCTGGCGGATAATGCTTGGGAAAGTAGCATTTTCTGCTCGACATTCTGCTCGTATTCTGCTGGCATTCGGGCCCATTCTGCTCGTATTCTGCACCAGGGAGTAGTTAAAAACCGGTATTTTACTACACCCTGGTTCGCACTTGTTGCAAAAGGACACCGTGCAGAGGGTCATTTTTGGTCATTTTCAATTGCCTCATTGTATTCACGATGTGAAAGAAGTGCTGTGTTCAATGCCGTTAGTGCCGTGAACTGTTTATCGGCCTTCCCCTGCATTTCCCTAGACAGACTGTGCCTAAGAAATGGTTTCCTCTAGGAGAAGATGCTTGGTATTCCCCATCTCTCCTAAGACATTTTCAGCAAACTTTCAAAACTACGACATTATTTCATTCGCCAATCTCCACCACCTGTCGTCTCACCTTGCTACAGAAGATGTTAGGAGAGATAGGAGAGTCGCCAGGAAGCATCACACCCATCTTCAGGAAGTGGAAAGAGCAAACGGCATGGTCCTTGGTTGGGGGAAATACTGAACGTCTGATTTGTCCCAACCAAGATTTCAGCATTTTGTTCGTCACTATTTTCGCTTATCTGCTGATGTCTCCGCACTCCAGCTTTCTCCTGTCGGTGTCACGTCCCAGGACACTACCGAAAGGACTACTAACAAGCAATTCACTGCACTAACAGCATTGAAAACAGTCCTTCTTTCACTTCCGGAATACAATAAACCAATTGAAAATGACCAAATTCTGCAGTGATCGACCTTCTCTGTGGTGGAGCTCAGCCTTTCATACGTCATCACTGCGCTGGTCGCTATGGCAACGTGAGTATACAATTGGCGATTTGGCAAGTTTGGCTTGTCGTATGTAAGCGAG